CCCTAAACCCTAAACCGTGGCTTGAGATTTTGGTTTAAGGGCAGGGTTGGGGGCTTGGCGCCTGAAGCCTTGAGCCCTGAGCCTTTCGGCCGGAAGTTGAACGTTCAGGGGGTTTAGGGTCTAGGGGTGTGGGTCCAGGGCCCAGGAAATTGAGCTGTAATAGCAGCTTTAAGGGGGGTTAGGATAAAACATTCAGACCCGGGTACTTCTGGTGGAGACTCTGTATCTTGGGCCCACTCCGAATGCCAGGCACGTGGAGTACTTCGGGGGTCACCGGCACAACGTCGACCAGGAGCAAGGTTTAGGGTCATGAGATCAGGCTGAGGGTTTGGGATGTTGACTCTCAGACGGCTTCACCAGGTTCGAAAGCCTCGTCCGAGGTTTCGCAAGGACCCCTAAGTTTAAGATAGCCCGGAGAGTTTCGCCCAGCAGTCCTGCATTCTGCTTTGTTTGGTCGTCAGGCAGGTTCATTGTTCACAGTTCGCGGTTTGGGGAGTAGGATAGCGAGGCATTGGCCCGCTGCGCCGAGGGCACCATGGGAGAGGGGGGTCTGGGGTCAATTTTTTGTTGCGCCTGAGTGTGTATGCGGGAATGTGTCATGTATCATACATCGTTCACAGGATTCGTATTAAGGTGCCCTAAACCCTAAAGCCCAAACCATACTCCCTAAACCCCATGTTCTAAACCTTAAACCCTAAGCAGGGAGTGTATTCGAGCACGCGACAATCGCAGACAGGTGCCCGAAGCGGGAGAAGCCCAAACCCCAAACCCTAGGATGCAGAGTGTTTTCTTCCTCATGCCTTACCTGATTCTGAAAGATATTGTCCACCACTGACCTGAACAGGGCTAGTTCTTTCTGCCAGTGTAAGCCCGACTGGGGCAGGATGGCCGAGCGAGCGAAAGTCCACTACACTTCAAAAAAGAGCCCTACGCTCCAGACTCAACCCTGAACTCTAGCCCCAACGCGAAACTGCCCTCAGCCCCTAGACCCAGAACCCTGGCAAAAGCACTTTAAAACCATACCAAGTCTTAAGCCCAAGGCGAAACAACCTTCAAGCCTCACTCCTACACCCCTAAACCCCGAACATGCGTGGCAAGAAATCCGATGTGACAGCTTGGTAGGCAGGTAACACGTCTGTCTGCCTGACGTCTCTCTGTTGGTTTCGTCTGCAGACCTCGCCTGGATGCATCCGAGAGTGAGTCTCAAAAAACCCTCAGCATCCCTCAACCTTACGACCCTAAACTTGAGGACCAAGAACTTTTCTTGGTTGCTTACGAAGCCTCGTAGTCCGACCAATAAACCTGAAGTGTTTGCTATTGCTTGCGATGCGGGAGGTAAAGAAGCCTCAAGCCCAAAGCCAACCAACTGGGTTTATGGTTTAGGGACACTCAGCCGTTCACCCCAACACTGCCCAGCTGCGCAGGATTCGACCACATCCATTTATCCGAACAACAATTGGCTCGTTGGTGGGGGAGGCCACATACTAGATACTTTATTTGCGTTAGATATCTTAGCTATGTTAGATATCTTAGATAAGCCTGATATATTCGATGTTTAGGTATATTAGCTATATCAGGTGTAGAGGGATATTCGGTAAACAGGGTCCATCGACTAAGTTAGGAATGCTAGATACCTCGGGTATGTTTGGTATATCCTACCAAGAAGCACTGCAGAGCATTAAACCGAGCAACGACCCAGAGAACGGCAGTGGTAACCCTAAACCCTAAACCCT